AGGGAGGAGGAAGAGTGTGGTTCAAAACTCGTGCAGGTCGCTGGCGGGGTCAGGGTTGCAGCAGCTCCCGCTCACAGAGGCCGAAGCCATCCAGGGAACCGCTGCTCAGCCAGCGGAACTCAGGACTTCCAGCACTCCCTGCTGATGGTTCGGTGGTGGGGCTTGGGCTGCCCACACGCTGCCTGCGGCCATAGAATCCCAGAAGCAGTGGCACAGGGGAAGAGAGAGTCCCTGGAGCAGACAGGGCAGCCCACGAAGGTGCTGTTGGAGCAGAGAGTGCAGGGACGGCCCACTGGAGTGATGAGTGTGGGAAGGGCTTTCCCCCTTCGTGAGTTTTCCACCTACAGGAATGAGTCCAGAATTGCAGGAGACACGTGGGATTGAAGACATGTAGATTTATTGACATGGTGAAGCTTCTATTTTTTATTTATTTATTTTTTTTTTTTTTTGGTTTTTTTGAGACAGGGTTTCTCTGTGTAGCCCTGGCTGTCCTGGAACTCACTCGGTAGACCAGGCTGGCCTCGAACTCAGAAATCCGCCTGCCTCTGCCGTGCTGGGATTAAAGGCGTGCGCCACCACCGCCCGGCACTATGGTGAAGCTTCTAAAAGGTGACGCTCTCCCACAAAATGCCAGAAGGGGTTTCCTTATATTGGAAGGAGGAGAGGGGCAGGGCCAGGGCCTTTAGATAATATGTAAATCTTGAGGCAGAGAGACCTGTTCCCCGCCCTCTACCTGGGCCTTACGTGACCCACTGCATGTTACATGGAGACCTCATGTCAGGTCTCTGAGTTCTGGGGGCGTGACCAAACACCCAAGGATTTCCACAGTCCCAAGGAGGAGGAGGAGGAGGAAGAGGAGGAGGAGGAGGAGGAGGAGGAGGAGGAGGAGCAATGAAGTAGGGTTTGTCCCTTGCATTTCTGCTCTCTGGTTTCTTGCTACCATGATGTGAACAGCACTCTCCTGCCATGCACTTCCTCCATGATATCCAGCCTCACCTTTGACCACAGCAATGAAGACAAATTGCCATGGACTGACACAGTGAGATAAAATAAATGTTACTTTCTTTAAGGTTTTGCCTAAGACAGTTTATCACTATGTAGAAGCAACACACTAGCACAGTCCACACAAACGAAGGCTTTTCATTAAGTGAAATATCTCTGTTCATCCTGTAGACACTGGAAGAAAACTATAGAAGGCCTATTCACATGAAGTTTGATGGAAGATATCTGGAGGACACAAACAACTGTTTTTAACCTAAGGAACTCCTGTCCCTGTTCCAACACTGTGATTCAGACTGGTGCACAAGACAGGGTGTGGTGGCTCATACCATTGATCCCAGTGCTAAGGAAGAGGCAGGTAGAATTTTGTGAAATCAAAATGCACCTGCCAGTTTCACAAGCAGTGATAATTAACTCAAAACTGAATAAAAAGAACAAAATGTTTCAACTGATTTAAGTTAGTAAATGTTTGAGATTAGTTAACATAGTGTTTTTATTGAAGTACAAAATATTTCCCTCAACAAAATTCAAACACTGTTAATTAGTATAAGACAGAAAAACAAACACAACTCTCATGATACAAAATCATACTCACCATTAGTTTAGTGTACTATAGAATAAGGTATCATGGTACTGGGATAAGACTTTCCAATTCAAATGATCTGTTCATTAATTTTCTACCAAACTTTGCAACAGTTAGGCATAGCAGCTGCAGGCAGAAGGGGAAGTGGTAAGTCTAGGGATGTGTGATTGTAGGAAAGTAGATAAGAATATAGCAGAGGCAGATGTTGCCTACTAATAGGACTCATAGATCTTATATGTTGTTTAAAAATTCAAATATCATGCTTTCTCTGATTTTTGTATCCTAGATTTTTATAGATTCATAAATATCTGTATGTATGTGTGTGTGCTTGTATGTGCATGTTAATGGGCACATGTGTATGTCACATGTAAGTAGGTAGAAGACTAGGGATTGGAAGTACATTAGTTAGAGAGAAATGTGGTAACAGAAGAAACAAGTGAAACAAGAATGTCAAAATACATGATATAATTTTATATTTTTATGAAAGCAAACATTATATGTGTAAATATATAAACTTAACCAAAAGGAGAAATTGATTGATATTGCCTGGAGTCAAAAATAGAGGGAGACCTCTCAAAGCTGAGCAAAACAAAAGCCAAGTTCACTTCTATATTCTCCAGAGGGAATATAGCAGAAGCTTTTGCTTTTAGCCCATGGAGACTCATGGTTAAAGTTTTCACCCCAGAATATAGGATAATAAACTTATCATGTTCAATACACATAATTTAAACATGAGAAGGAAAAAAGACACGAATGTCTTCACCTCATTTTTCCATAAGAACTTTCAAATTTAAAGAATCTGTTCATTAATTTTCTACCAAACTTTGATTCAGTTAAATATTCAGCTTCAGGCAGAAGGGGTAGTGTGTAGGTCATGGGATGTGTAGTTCAGGCAGCTGTTTAGAATCTCAGAGGAGGTTCAGCTCCTTTATTCCTTTCCCTCTAACTTCTCCACTGGCGACCCTGTGCTAAGTCCAAAGGTTGGCTGCAAGCATCTGCCTCTGTATATGACAGGCTCTGCCAGACCCTCTAGGGAGACTATCTCAGGCTCCTGTCAGCATGCATTTCTTGGCATCCACAGTATAGTATCTGGATTTGGTGAGCATATATGGGTTGGATCCCTAGGTGGGGTAGTCTTTGGGTAACTTTTTCTTCAGTCTCTGCTCCACACTTTGTCTTTGTATTTTCTACCTTGACTATTTTGTTCTCTTTTCTAAGAAAGACAGAAGCACCCAAGCTTTGGTCTTCCATATTCTTGAGCTTCATTTGATCTGTGAATTGTATCTTGGGTATTCTAAGCTTTTGGGTTAAAATCCACTTATCAGTGAGTATATACCATGTGTGTTCTTTTGTGACTGGGTTACCTCAGTCAGGATTATACTTTCTAGTTCCATCCATTTGCCTAAGAATTTCATGAAATCATTTTTTTTAATAGCTGAGTAGTACTCCATTTTGTAAATGTACCATGTTTTCTGTATCTATTCCTCTGTTGAAAGACATCTGGGTTCTTTCCAGCTTCTGGCTATTATAAATAAGGATGCTAAGAACAGAATGGAGTACATGTCCTAATTATATGTTGGAGCATGTTCTAGGTATATGTACAGGATCAGTATAGCTGAATCCTCAGGTAATATTATGTCCAATTTTCTAAGGAACTGCCACACTGATTTTCAGAGTGTTTGTACCAGCTTGCAATTCCACCAACAATAGAGAAGTGTTCCTCTTTCCTCACATCCTCACCAGCATCTATTGTCACCTGAGTTTTTGATCTTAGTCATGCTGACTAGTATGAGTTGGAATCTCAGGGTTGTTTTGATTGGCATTTGATGACTAAGGATGTTGAACATTTCCTTAGGTGCTTTTTGGCCACTTGATATTCCTCAGTTGAGAATTCTTTATTTAGCTTTGTACCTGATTATTTTAATAGGGTTATTTGGATCTCTGTGTTCTTTGAAAAAATCAACAAGGAAGATAAATCGTTAGCCAGTGTAACCAGAAGGCACAGAGACAGTACCCAACTTTGTCTTTGTTTTTCAGGCAGGTTCTTACTATGTAAACATGACTGGCCTGGATCTTACTATGTAAGTCAGAGTTGATTTGAAGTCTTGGAGATAACCTGGGGTCCAAATCACAAATGCTGTGTTTAAAGACATAAATAGCACACTCAATCAAATTTTAAATACTTAATCACTTTTATAGAACTATTGTTTTACTAGTAAGCCCTACCCTATTACATACAATCCTTGATGAAGGCTCTATTATTAAAGGCTTGAAGTTTCTTTTTTGAAATGTCCTTTCTACTTGTTATATCATCAAGATATATGTTTGATTTATTTTCATACTTAGTAAAAATTATCACCATAGTTATTTTCCTTTTCAAAAGCTCTGTTCTGGCACCTACAAATATTTCACTGATGTTTAATAAATAAACAAATAAAATGCTAAACTTACACCTTCTTCTATTTTCATAAAATTTGATAGATGCATAAGTGAATCAAATGCTAGGATATCGTCCATGATTCCTTTTTGACCTTCATTTTATAACTCTTCTGAAATAAGTCTGAAGATCTGTGGAAATTTTAGTTGACAAACATAGTTTTGTTGTTTCAGTCTCTGTGATTTTTTTTTTGTCAGTAGAGTAGTAGATGTAAACATCTCATCAAGTAATTTGCAATTTTTCCAAATTCAATTCAACAATTTATATAAATCCATAAATATGAAAAATACTTTATCTTCAAGGGCTGTTCACCTATTATAGAATATGCATAAGGAACTTTGCACTAGAGTCATGAATCCCTGAGTATAAGCTCTCTAGCCTTTGGAGGACAGGAGTAAGCTATTTGCTATGGGTTCAGACAATGCTTCATCTGAATTTCCAACAATTACAAGGATATAGAATAAACAATCATTTTTTCTGTCCATCCAGGATAAAAGTTTCTCTGGTTTTAGTACCTTGGTTGATGATTGTCTGATTAAACAAGGATAACTATAGGCTATGTATTGTCCTGCTAAAATATAGTGAAGAAAATCCAGAGTCAGGAAAAAAGCAGAACTTTGGGACTTTTCCATCCCATATATTTCTGTAAATTCATTCCTGGCTACATCTGAGAAATAGTTTGAAGAAAGCTGAAGAACTAACAGAAACAGCTAAAGCAGCCCAACCTCACACTTCTGCTTTCCTAGTGGTTTTTGCTATGGTCTGTTTCACTGTGAGAGGCCAGCTGTTACTTTGTTGACAGTAATACATTACAAAATCTTCTGGGTCTACACTGTTGATACTGAGAGTTAAATCAGTCCCTGATCCACTGCCACTGAACCTGGAGGGGATCCCAGAGATGGTCTGCGAAGCATACTTGATGAGAAGTCTTGGAGACCCATGTGATTTTTGCTGATACCAGTGTAGGTCGTTGCTAATACTCTGGCTGGCCTTGCAGGAGAGACTGATACTGTCTCCTGAAGTCACAGACATGGTGCCTGGAGACTGAGTCATTAAATGTCACCTCTGGATGCTGTAAAAATAAAAAATAATAGTAGGACACAGCATTAAATATGAAAGACACTTCTAAACTACTTAGAAAAATAAAAGACTTTCATTGTATCAGTTTCTTTAAACAGGAAGTCAAAACCCATATGGTGCTGGCTGCTAAATAAAGCAGGAAAATGTCATAGTTAAATAATATTTCCACTTTATTGCCATGTCCAAGCAGTAATACCTGAAATCCAGAATAGCAGAAGTCCAAGGAACTGAGTTATGAACACCATCTTCGATCTTTCCCTGAGTTTGTGTGGATCGTGATATACCTCTGAGAAAGAACTTCTTATAATACTCTAAGGAGCAGGAACACTGAAAGAAAGAAGTACTTATGCAAATCCTACTGACTTCATAAGATTTGTAATATAACCTGGTCAGAAGAGCAGGCTCCATTCCCTTCTTAGAATATTTATCCCTTTGCTGGTTACCTGAAGTAAGGTTGAGATTTAAAAATGACTTGGCTTCTACTTACATGGTTACATAATTAGCATAGTCTAAGGAATACATTTAGTAATTTAAAATAAAGATCATCTCTTATCCACGGTTTTATTCCAGGCTTATGTTGTTTTCCTTGATGTTTCTTTGTTTTCTTTTTTTTCTTAGATTTTTTTTTTTACTTACATTTCAAATATTATCCCCTTTCCTAGTTCCACCCACTGCAATTTCCTCTCTCCCCCTACTTCTATGAGGATGTTCCTACACCAACCCACACACTCCTGCCTATGGCAATGGGTACTTGATCCTTGACAAAGGAGTTAAATCCATTCAGTGGTATTGTTGCTCTCCTCACAGGGCCACAAACACTTTCAGCTCCTTCAGTCTTCTCTCTGACTCCTCCATTGGGAACCCCTTGATCAGATCAATGGTTAGCTGTGAGCATCTGCCTCTGAATATGTCAGACTGTGGCAGACCTCTAAGGAAACAGCTATATTTGGCTCTTGTCAGCATGCAATTCAGGACATTCATATCAGCATCTACCTTTAGTGACTGTAGCTCCCCAGGGTTTAAACCACCAGCCTGGGAGCACATAGTGAGGGACGAAGTTGTATATGTAGGGGAGGACAGCATGTCTAGCATATGTGGGGGAGGAGATCCTTGGTCCCATGAAGGCTGGTGTGAGTGGGGTTATGTGGGGGCATATCCTCATAGAAGCAGGAGGAGGGGGGATGGGATAGGGGGTTCCTAGATGGGGGGATGGGGTAAGGGGACAACATCTGAATTGTAAATATAATATCCAATTTAGAAATATCCAGTGGAAAAAAGACAGCATTTTTAACAAATATTACTGGTTCAACTGGTGGTCAGAATACATGGGAATGCAAATTGAACCATTCTTATCTCCTTGAAAAAAAACTCAAGTCCAAGTGGATCAAGGATATCCACATAAAACAAGATACACTGAAACTAGTAGAAGAGAAAGTGGAGAAGAGCCTTGAACACATGGGTACAGGAGAAAAGTTTCTAAAGAGAACACCAATGGCTTATGCACTAAGATCAAGAATTAACAGATGGGACCTCATAAAATTGCAAAGCTTCTGTAAGGCAAAAAACACTGTCTATAAGACAAAACTGCAACCACTAGCTTGGGAAAACATCTTTACCAATCTTCCATCTGATAGAAGGTAAATATCCAATATATGCAAGAACTCCAGAAGTTTGACTCCAGAAAATCAAATAACCCTATTAAATAATATGGTACAAAGCTAAACAAGGAATTCTCAACTGAGGAATATCAAATGACTAAGAAGGACCTAAAGAAATGTTCAAAATCCTTAGTCATCAGGGAAATGCAAATCAAAACAACCCTGAGACTCCACCTCACACAAGTCAGCATGGCTAAGATCAAAAACTAAGGTGAGAGCAGATGATGACAAGGATTGGAGAAAGAGGAACACTTCTCCCTTGTTGGTGGGATTACAAGCTGGTACCACTCTGAAAATCAGTCTGGTGGTTCCTCAGAAAATTGGACATAGTATTACCTGAGGACCTAGCTATACCATGCCTGCACATATATCCAAAAGATGTCCCAACATATAACAAGGACACATGCTCCACTATGTTCATAGCAGCCTTATTTATAATAGCCAGAAGCTGTAAGGAATCCAGATGTCCTTAAACAGAGGAATGAATATAGAAAATGAGGTACATTTAAACAATCGACTACTATCCAGCTATAAAAAACAATGACTTCATGAAATTCTTAGGCAAATGAATGAAACTAGAAAATATCATCCTGAATTCCTGAGTGAGGTAATCCAACAACAAAAGAATACACATGGCATGCACTCACTGATAAGTGAATATTAGTCTAATTGCTCAGAATACCCTAGATACAATTCACAGACCACATGAAGCTCCAGAAAGAGGAAGACCAAAGTGTGGATACATTTGTACTTCTTAGAAAGGGGAACAAAACACTTACTGTAGGAATTACAGAGACAAAGTGTGGAGCGGAGACTGAAGAAAAGTCATCCAGATACTGCCCTACCTGGGAATCTAAACCTTGATGGTTTTTACAGTATGGGTTGAAGCATCGAAAAGAATCTGAACATTCAAAGAAGCATAAAAATATGTAAAACTAAAGTGATATTACATAATGGAAATTTCATCAACAAGAAGTAAGAAATCCTTGATGTTTTATAAAGATATATTTCTCAAGAAGCAGAAATAAAATTGTTTTAAATGTTTACAATCTTCTAGATTAGAGAAGAATTTCAGAGGTTGAGATATCAAAATATTTTTAGTACATTCCAAATAAAAGCCAAAGAGTACATCTTGCATGTCTTTCCAACAAGAGTGAGAAGAGTGTCAAAGAAGTATTTCTAGAATGTTCAAACAAATTCTTTCCATAGTACATGTTTTTCTTGCTACTTAAAAGAGCACAATTGTGAGACAGTCAAGATTAGGAGAGAAATTTGTATAAGTTCCACTTAAAGAAACCACTGTTCTTGTTGCTTAGGCCATATAACCAAGGTAGAGTATATGTCTTATATAAAAACTATGTCTGAGTTTTTGAAAAGCTTCATTAACTGTATTATAAACTACCAAGACTCTTGAAAAATGAGGATAGGAATAAAGGAGAGCCCCCATTTCACTGCATGTGGGAATGCAATAACTATGAAATCACTGAGCAGTTTTCTAAAACAGGCTAGAGATATCACTATTACATTATCCAGTTACACCATTCAAGTGGGTATACCTAAAGGATTCTATAGCCTACAACAGACATAAAAGCACATCCATGAATATTGCAGCTCAAGTCACGATAGCTAGGAAATGGTATCAATTTATATGTATACCATTAGTTAAATGGACAATTGAAATGTAGCATATTGGTTAAATGGAATTTATCTAGGTATGAAGAGTCATAAATTAATGAAAACTTTGGAAAATGTATGATCCTTGAAAAATTATAATGACTAAATCATTCTACTCCTTCATATATATTTTCCGCATTCTTCCCACAAGTGTGAATTGTAACTGTGCTGTTTGACAGGGACTATATATTGGTGTAAGAAGCTGAAATGGGACTCCCACATTTGGTGTTCTTTGGAGGGATTACATGAGAACACAAAAGACAGGGAAGTAAATAGCCAGATATTTTGGGAAGAAAGGTTTGTGCAGAATCAGGATGAGAAGCTGAGAAAGGGGATGATTAAATATCTTAAGACTATTCTACTAATCCCCAAAGTAAAAACAATCAAACTAGTAAATCATATTTGATGAACACATTTAAGAAGAGTCATTGGAGATAATGGAGTACCTGGAGACTGGCTTCATGAAGGCATTCAATACTAGGAGCAGATATGTGCAATTACCATACATTAATTATTAGTAAAAGAAAACTGTAAAATGAAACAGCATGCATGGAATATTAATGTATATGATTCATCAGCAATCAAAACACAAACACACCTAAACAAATTAAAGTATCATGTACAACATTTTCTCCTTTCTTTCTTTTCTTCCTTTCTTCCTTCCTTCCTTTCTTTCTTTCTTTCTTTCTTTCTTTCTTTCTTTCTTTCTTTCTTTCTTCATTCTTTCCTTCCTTCCTTTACTCTCTTTTGTCTTTCTGCCTGTCTGTCTTTCTTTCCTTTTTATTTTGTTATTTCTTTTGTACTTCTTTCTATCTTCCTTTCTTACCTTTTTTGTTTTACTGAAAATTGATTTTTTTCTCACATGGTATATTCTAATTATGGTTGCCCTTCCTTTTATTCCTCCCAGGTCCTCTTCATGACACCTTACCTCTAGATCTACTCTCTTTCTGTATGTAATTGCAAAATATATCCAGGCTTCCTTGCAACATTTATAATAGTATATAATAATAAAATAAATATTACAAGATAAAACAAAAGCCTACATATCAGTATTGGACAAATCAAACAAAAGAAAAAGAGCCAAAGAGAAAGCACAAGGAACAGACACACTTCCTCACATATTCAGGAATGCTAAACAAACACTGAGTGGGAAGGCTGTAATATACATATGACTTGTAAATTAAAAACAGAAATGAATAATATGTATAAATGATATTAAACTTAAATTATAAAAAGTGGATAAAATTATTTAAAGTGAAGAGTGGCATGATAAACAGCCAGAGAAGAAGTACCTAACTCTCAAAAGACTTGAGGCCCCAGGGAGTTTAGAGGTCTGGTGGAGTGGAGAGTAGGTACACCCTGTTGAGAAAGTGGAGTGGGGAGGAGGCATGGGATGTGACATGGTCAGAGG